TCTCGTTTTGCTTGTCCTTTATTATCGCGCTTTGTTTATCAAAAATCACTTTATAACCCTTTTCGACCGCTCTGGAGACCGATATAAAGTTTGTTTGCAACTCTTTGACGTATAATACGTTTTCCATTTTAATGGTAGAGTTCTCATAGTTCACACACACAGTACCAATGCCATCGGCATATATGAAACTCTCTCCAGCAAGTAAGATTTTCTCTTTATGCTCTCTTAAATCGTCAAACCACGATTTGTCACAACACATGTGTTCAGTGGCGCCGCTATCTAGGCACCAAGTTGCTTTTGATAAACAGTTATTCTTTTGCACATTCGCTATGATTGCAAGCGCTTTATCACTGTCCTTCTTGTTCTCGCCACTTCTTACATTTTGCTTGCACTGAGCAATAAAATGCCCCTCACGGCCGCACTTGTAACATTTTCTGCTATGCTTCGCGCCGTTCTCATTTTGCGAGTTCCTTTTGCCTCTGTTTTGGGCACGCGTTACTAAGACTTGCTGTACACTGCTATCCACCTCTTCGGTGTTCACGCGTTGTCTGTCTCCCTCTTCTAACACTTTAACCTTGAGATCAGACAATGACGGCAACTGCTCGCGTGTCTCGACAGCTACCACAAAGTTTTCAAACGGCTTACTTAGCCCCGACAGCAACACAATTGTTAGAATGTCTTCAGAAATATCCATGCCTATTTCCTTGAGCTTGTCCACAACGTCAGAAAACTCACTTATATAGTTTTTTACATCTGAACCCTCTGACAAGCGTAACCGAAGCAATCTTTTAAACAATTAAATTTTTCTTGCAGGCCCACGCGGCTGATATACAGCTGCAAGCTTATCCCAAGCTTCTTTTGCCGAATTACAGTTCTTTATGAAATTAATTTCCGACGCTTTTACACCTAGTAAAATGTTTGCTAATGCCTTTTCGTCGCGCGTATCAAACTCAGCCTTTTGCTCAGCCGTATCGGACTCATTTTTTACCGATCTACCACACACGATTGGCCATAGGTCGTACTGTACCAACACACTTTTCATGTGCACCGACCACACCGCATAATTTTCACCATCCAACTTTTCGATGGAATATAACCCCTGCGCACTCATGTTTGCCTTTTCCCGATTACACACAGTAATCCACAAAACACTTCTGTTTGTCTTTACTTCTTCGCGGTCACACACAGTAATCCACGAAGCACTTCTATTTGTCTTTATACTTTCGCGATCACACACAGTAATCCATAAAGACACTTCTCACTTCCTCTATAGCTCTGGGCCCTGTTGGATATTATAACCTTTGGTGGCTATAATTTTAGAGCAGTTGGAGGAAGAAGTGAGACGCAGTTGCTTTAAAGTGTTTAGAGGTTATACATATTTTATTATACGCTTATGCGCGAGTTCTTTCCTTAGCAAACGATTGATGAGAACTAACCTGTTATAGATACATAGCACAAATCATAATGACAAAACAAGTGTGACCAAATATCAAGTAATAATAGTTGCCTTAATCTAACGGATTTCAATAAAATATAATCAATCATGGATGATGCACCCCGGCCTTACGTAAAGCAATTTTGAGCTTCAGGACATTGGCACGTCCTATCAGGAAATATCAACAGACCTAAGTTGCTTAAAAACGATGGTTTTCAATGATCGTAAGCATTTGCAAAAGTATGACACAATAAAAAATATTCCACGCAAAAAGAGACCACGCAAAACATCGGAGCACAAAGATAGCAAGGTTGTTCAAATGGGCAATTTAGATCCTCGTAGGGGATCTGTAGACATCCAGCTTGAATTTTGGTATCAAAACGATGCAACATGCAGTCGCTGGTCGTTTGCTTGAGGCTAGGATCCAGCGGCGAAACTTACGCATCACGCAAATGGTGACAATTGCGCAAAGACGACGACGCTGAAACCCATGTTGATTGAATTTTTAACAAATGGAAATATTTAGTCCGGACTTATGAAATAATTATTAACCGACTTGGTATTGATGGTAGAAAATTTATACGAACCCAAAAAGTAGTAAATCTTAATCCAAAGTGTATGCAACTGTCGTCAAGTATGGTCGAGGCGAAAAAAATATTTCAGAGTGTTTCTCATGGAACAGAGTTGGTCTCATATTCCGCATCGATAGAATTGTAACTTGGGAGAAGTAAGTCGATATATTGAGGGATGTCTTGATGGCATAGGCGAATATAAAAAAATTCCGGGTGCTTGGGCCTATAAGCAAGATAATGACTCTAAACTTGCGGCGCGTCCAACAAAACAATTATTGGACACAAGTTTTGTTTGGGCTCTTGAATGGCCATCGTGCAGTCCTGATCTGAATCACATTGAACATTTATGGAACAACGTTAAAAAGTGATCCCCCAACAGAATGTAGCAAATTTTGACAAATCATTCCAAAAAACAAGTAAAAAAGCTAAAGTCGGGTGTCCCGACTTTGAAATACTCTGTACATATGTTTACAATAATTATAGAAAATTAAAAAAAAAATTTGGAAAATAAAAAAAAATTTGATATATTTTACCTCTTTTGGTATTCGAACTCACGTAAAGGGTGTATAATTGCACATTTACATAGCAATGGCGTCTGTGTGCCTATGCGCATCTATTCGTGTCTGTGTAAACATATGTGCAGTCAACCAAAGCACCAGCATCAACAACAGCCGCGGGCAGCGCTTGGGCAGCGCTGCAGCAGCAAATATATTTATGGTTATAACTTCTTGTTAAATCGGTCTATCATAGTGACACATAATAACTAACTGGGGGTATTTGCATAATTTTAGTTCGAAATTCCAAGAATTACGGGAGAGGGGGGAGGGAGGGAAATTTGGTGTCTCTAGCTCTAGCTCGCGCAAACCTAATATACTCTTGTACATTTCATGTATATAAGAGGTAGAGACACCAAATTTTGCACAAAGATGCCTTATGTGTGCACGCTGTGCAAGTTTGTTGTATTTTTTTGATTTTCCACCCACTTCCCGCTATGGGGGTTTTCCCGATTTTCCATTCGTATAATCGCCCCTCCACTCCCCTGCAATTCGTTTTTTTTCCATAACCTCCGTAATTCTTGGAATTTTGAAATAAATTTTGGTAGGTACAGTGGTAGTTAGTGATAATGTGTCCGTTTCATCATGATAGGTCAATTCTGAAGTTATAGCCATAAATAAAATCGCTGCCCATGCGCTGCCTGGAACTCTGCAAGCAGCTGTTGTTGTTGTTGCTTGTTTTGTTTCACATTTGTGATGCATACATACACGGATATAAACACGCATAAACACGTGGTATAAATGTATGCTGTTAAAAGTGTACATAAACATGTCTTCTATGTATTAAGTAAATTTTCTTTACTTATTTAATTAATTAATTCAATTTTTTTATTAATTTATTTTTTTTTTAAATTTTCTTTTTTTGTGGAGCGTACAGGCTATTTTACTGTCGGGCTTGCTCGACTGTAGCGTTCTCACTTGTTTACTTGTTTTTACTAATCAAGTAAACGTTGTTAATTAGTTGTCTCGGTTAAACCCGTTGTATGGACAAGACATCACTCATAAAAAATATTTGAGTTAGAAATTTGAACTCGACTGTGGTTTGTTTTTAAGTTCATGGGTCTCACATATAGAATATGTAAACATTAAAAACATTTTAAAAAAGGAGAAAAATGATGAAATCCTCAACCGGCACCATCGTTGTTAATTAGTTGTCAACAGCTGTAAATATACCCTGATTTATGATTTGTAACCAGAAATAAAAAATTAACACATGCTATCTGAACTTGCAAAGGGATCAGATGCACTTCTTAAACATTTGCGTTGTATTTTTTCAACATTTAATTGGCGTTTTCGCACATTCTCGTTGGCTATTATTATTGCAAGTGGTATATTAGTGCTTAAGGGAATTTAAACACAGTCAAATGTAAACGTCGACACTCAGCTGTTAAAAGGGAAGTTCGAAAAATGAAATCTCTCAAAGTTCTGTAACACCTACGAATTTTTCGAGAGATTTAAAAAAAACCCCTAGCCGAAATCTCTAGAGTTTCTTGTATATTGAGATTTTTCATGAGTAAAGCAAGTGCTGTTTCAGGCAATCTTTAATATTTTACGTTATGTAGCAAATTTACTAATAAATGTGAAAATACGGAACTGCTAGGTTTAATTTCGATTCTCATAGACTACTTCATAGTCAGTCAATTGTTGGCTTACAAGGGAAGAAAAAATGAAAATTCTCGAAGTCCTGTGGCGCCGAAGGATTTTTTTTTAGATAATTTATTAAATATAATACCAGAAAGACGCAGTATTTGCACAAAATGGAGTATATCGTTGCCGACTAAAAAAAGGGTCAACTTTGAGTGAACATATGTATCTCCTAAACTTTCATTTCGATTTCTTTGAGTAAAATTTTCGTATTTTACTATTAGATACGTTTAAGCATAATCCTCAAAGCGTTCATAAAATGTTTGGGTTTTACACGCTGTTTTGGCTTGAGGCCCCACAGTGCAGCGGTCCACCGGGTCAACCTAACCTAACCCTTCTAACTTTAGAGAATCTAAAGTCGGGTTTCCTGACTTTGAAGTACTCTGTAAATTAAAACAGTATTCAAACTCACGTAAAGGTTGTGTAACTGCACATTTTTATAGGAATTGTGTCTATGCGTGACTATGTGGGAGCATGCATGCAGTAAAGAATTGAATCAAAGCAGCTACAGCAACAGATGGTTACAGATAACATGACTCTTTAAAATTGACATATCATGCAAAAACTTTGTAGTTCCATCTGCATTGTCCAGAGTTCAAAAGCTACATATGTATGTATGTATGTACACAAAACTAGTATATACATAACTAGTAACCCTGGGTAGAGGGATTAATAATTAATTATTTAATGTATGAAAATTAAATTATTCTGCATTGGCTTTTGAAAAAGTTCTCCACCATATGTACACTGTATACATTTGTATATGTATGATTATGTATTTATGTTTATACATACCTTTCCCAGTATATTTCAATACCAAAATCGAAAACTGTTTAAAATTCAAATAAACAAAGAACAATTTAAGAATCTGAATGGGTGTGACACGCGGTTTGATTTTCAGTTCTAATTCATAGCACTTCTCGTGCACTCAAATACATACATACATACATACGTATTTTTTTAATAAATATGCATGTGTTATCTTATCAGAAACCAAAAAATTTAATAACTAGGATTCCAGAGATGTATTACATTACAGCGTCATTACTTAACATCATAACGTGGCTGTTCTCATTTCAGGGAAAAATTAGTCAATATCGAATTGACAAAAAGTTAAGTTTTCACAAATACGATTTTTCCATGAAAGTCCAATTCGTTCAAAGTTGCTTGTAAAAATTGTAAAAACAATCCAATCATGACAAAATGTCTCTTCTTTTATATTGGATTTTACACCAACTTATCGATATATGTGAGCAGTTTCGAATTTAATGTTAAGGTAGCGCTGCTATTTGTCATCGATTAGAACTTTGTTAACCCATTGAAACCCAATGACCTTTAAAACCAACAGTTTTCCGTTTGAAAGTAACAAAAGCTACATAAATAAATTGAAAAATAATGTGTTACATTAAGAATTAAGTTGGTTTTTGACCTTGCAACTAGCGAGATTGGCCAAATACATACCATATTTTTTTCATTTTACGCAGTGCCATTTCGCATTGTTAGCCTATCTATTTTGACAGTGCATATTGGGCCAGAAGTCCAATTTTTTGGCATAAATTCCAAAATTTCATGGAAACAAATTAATATTCTGATATTACTTTCTTAAAACACATACCCTAACTACAATAAAAACATAAATATTTTTGATCTTTATGCAACAATGTAATGTTGATAACACTTCAAAGTCAGTTGTTCGATCTGCAAGGCGTTTTGGTAAAAAAAAAAAACACGCGTACAAGCTCTGGAATGACGGGCCCCGTTGTACTTCCTGTTCATCGATTTCAAGAAGGGCTTTCATTCAGTGGAAAGAGCGGCGGGGAAAGGAGTACCAATAAAAAAAAAAAATTCACTTTTCCAGACAAACACAGGAGTCAAGGAAGGCAGCCCTCTATCGCCACTGCTGTTCAACACCGTGGTAGACGAGTTCATGAGGGAAATATGCAAAACAAAGTGTGGCATCACTTGGATCTTCAACAGACATCTTGAAGGCTTGGTCTATGCGGACGACATCTGTTTGATCTCTCACAGACTCTGAGATATCCAATCCAAAGCTGATGACTTCGTGGACTTAGCCAGTTGAGTCGGGCAGGAAATAAACACGACTAAAACAAAATCGATGCGCTTCAATCACGCCAGGCAAGGAAACTACATATGTGGGAACCCAATCGAGTTTGTCGATTACTTCCCATACCTCGGCGCCATTATCTCCAACAATGGTGACGTGAACGAAGATGTATCGAGCCGTCTTACATATGGAAAAGCGGACAGTTAAGCAGAAAAACTAAACTGCGAGACGTAGCTGACCACACAAAGAATGGTCAAACAGCTGCAGGCATTTATAAACAAATGCATCAGAATCATATGCGGGATATTCTGGCCTAACAGAATATCAAACGCAGAACTGTGGAGCATGACTGGTGAGTATCCAATCTACCTCCAGATAAGGAAGAAGAAATGAATGTGGATTGGCCACTCACTGCGAAAGGACCCACACAGCATGGACCCACATAACCTGGCGACGGACCACCCTTCAGGAATTATCCCATAATAACATCAAATGGGACACAGCTAGACAGATGGCCAGAAATGGAGTTAGATGGAATGTACTTGTAGAAGCCCTAAGCTCCCAAGTGGAGTAAAATAGGAAAAAAAATGTATACCAACTAAAACCATTTTTGTCTATTCAAATTCACTATTTAACTAGCAGGTCTTGCTCGTCTTTTCTGGGCTAAGTAAAATGTGCTTATAATTATAAGTTTATTTACTATATGATATTCTTCTTTCGACGCTCTCTAAAGTTTTTTAAAGAGTTAATTTTCCAAATAGCAAATATAGTACAATAAGTACTATGTATGGTTATACGTACATACATACATATGTACATATATTCGTTACGCACCGGGCGAATGCCAGTCCTGACTTAACTGTGTGCTTCCTCAGCACGTTGTACGCACGGTCGAGTTATCCCCGAAAAGTCCGACGCGGGACATTTAATTTTGATTTATAAATCGGGACGTCCCACCAAAATTGGTGCGTTCATTTAAATTTTTCATGCAGGCGTTATCCGCCTATATACATACATACATACATATATAAGTATGTATTAAATTTTTTAATTCAACACTAATTTGTGTCTTCAATTCCAAATATGATTGTTGTGAATGTAAAAGGTGTATTTCTGCTTTTGTAAATCGCATGAATACACTCACAAAATTGGCTTAACGGTAAATGACTCTTAGATTTCTCCAGAATACATTTGTAGCGTTGTTAGCTAACACTAAAACGGTTAGTAGCTGTAAATATGCGATCAGCTGAGATGCTCATGTATCGGATGCTCTATGTGGTAGAGCATCAAAACGATCGATAGTTGAATCCGTCGATACAATCAATAATTCCATCGAAGTTTGAATGCAATTAACACTACATTTATAATCTTATAATTTATTTAGATCAATTAGAACACATCACATACAAACATATATATGTACATCTGCCCGCAACGCGAAGCAGAATATGCGTAGGTCCGCTTTCGGTTTATGTTTTACTAATGTGAGAACATTTTGCTTTGGCTATTTCAATCGTTTGCATGCAACTACACGAACAGCTGCTTGTATGTGTGTGTGTGTGTGTGTGTGTGTATGTATACTAAGTTGTCCCCAACTGTTTGATATTTTGTATTGTTTGTTCTGTCTGCATTTGTAAAATGCATATTTTGAAAATCCTTGAATGCAAAGTTGTAGATTTAGTTACGTAGATTACAGTCCCCAAAGTTGAAATCGATCGGAAAAAATTTATAACACAAACTTTTCATTTGAAAAGGTAAATAAATATTAAAACCCCAATAATTCAAGCTCCACCACAAATTTCGAAAATCCGAGTATGTAGTTTTGTTTGTATTCTTTTATAGATTATATTATATTACTAAATTTAAAGTCGATCGGTGCAGAAATGCAGAATTTTCAAACAAACTCGTTTTCCCCCCTTTTGAGCTTGAATTTTCCAAAATCCCTTATTAGTGGGCACCTTCACTATGATAGGATCCTTGAGCCCAAGTTTCAGCTTCATAGCTCTTGCCGTTTGGGCTGTGGGCTGCCCCATTTTTTTTACAGGAAAACTCCCATATTACAGTCCCCAAAAAAAAAATTTAAAAACCAAGTATACAGTTTTTCTTGGAATGAAAGTATATTTCTGAGAGTATACAAACTAAATTTGAAGTTAATCAGATGAAAATTGTAGATTTTGAATGCAAACTTTGGAACTCGATTTCCCCCCTTTGGAGCTCGAATTTTCCAAATAAAAGTGGGCACCTACACTATGAAAGAATACTTGAGTCCAAATTCCAGCTTCCTAGCTTTTACCGTTTGGGCTGTACGTTGATCACCAATCAGTCAGTCAGGACAAACTGTTTTATATATATATAGAGATGGATCAAAGAGCATTCAGGAAAGGGTGGAATATGTTACAAACGGTATTAATAACAAAATAATTATACGCATAGTTTAGGTTGCACAATATTTGATTTAGGCTAAATAGGACCCCTTAGTTAAATTTTGCTAACCATAATGCAATTAAACCCATAACAGCGAATCTATCTGCCAAGCATTTATGCTCTATATAGTACATGAAATGTAGAGTATACTAAATTTGCGGTTGATAAAAAATTTAAAATGCAGAAGGACGCGTGGCAGACCCCACAAAGTATGTATTATATTCTTGATCAGTATGACAAGACGAGTCGATCTCGCCCTGTCTGTCCGTATAAACACCTGGATCTCAGAGACTATATAGACTATATAAACTATATAGAGATATATATTTGCCCATATCTCGGAGAATATAAGGTCTACAACGGCCATTGCTAGAATACTGCTCATGTGTTTGGTGTCCTTAGTATAAATTGCGTCAGGACCGAATTGAGTCGGTCCAGAAACAAGTTGTTCTTTTTGCTCTTCGTGGTCTAAACTGTTCTTGGTGTTCTGTTCCTCCATAAATTGATTGTCGGAGATGTTGATTCCTCTATGCTTTTAGGTCGTATCAATTTTTCTGTTCCTTTCAGACCAACAAGGAACTTTCTGCCTATTCTACTTAACAGATGCACTAGTGATTACGCCATACACAATCCTTCTCGATTATGCGCTAATTATAATACTTTTTACTTTTAATCTCAAGTGAGCTCTCTCTCCCCTTACTAAAATCTTCTATTTTCAGCTACCTCTGGCAGAATCACTAATCACCACTACTCAACGGGTAAGTGATTCTTCACCTTTAATTTTTAATTATATTTTATCTTTTATTATTGAAGTATTTTAATTTTTCTTCTATATTTTATTGCTATATTTTTTCATCTCCACTTCATTTTTGATAGGTCTAATAACGTAGCTGACTACTCTCTGCTGAATCGGGGCATAGCTGGTCGTTTGGCAAATAAAATTTTCCCACCGTGCCGGATTTTATTTCGTTTAAGCTCTATATATATATATATATATATAGTATATATATATATATAATTATTTCATAAGTCCGAAATATATATATATATATATATACACTGCATTGTTTGTCGATGTAATAAATAAATAAATAAAAACTAGGGACACCAAATTAGCACTGCGTACTTGACACAAATAGACACGCATAAACATGCATACACTCACATAGACATAATTCCTATGTAAATGTGCAATTATACACCATTTACGTGAGTTCGAATACCAAGGGAGGTAAAATCGATCAAGTTTTTGTTTTTTTAATTTTCTTAAACTTAGACTTTAGCTTCTCCACTTGTTTGTTCGCGAAGTTGCTGCAGTTTTTTGCTATAGAAGCCAAAACCGGATCAACACAGATGTATATTTTTTTCGGGATATATAATATATTTTGAAAATATGAGCGAGGTAGACAAGGGTAGTTATTCTTCTGTCCACCAATAAATAACAAGTGCCACAGATATCTCTTTCTCCCAAATTTCGCCCGAAAACCAAATCTCGGTGGCACGGACATTTTTTTGGGACTTTTCAAACCTCGTCTGTTTTGCCAGGAGTTTTGATTAAAAACACTAACAAAGACATTATTCGAAATAAAAATAATCATTGGAATATATATCTTAGAGTTTTTCTGAACAATCT